CTGAAAAAACTACGCGGTCTGGACAACCCCTTGGACAGCCCCGCAAGGATCCGGACAACCCCCCAAGCCTCCCCAGGATTTTCACATTGGAAATAATAACACAGGGAACGATGATTCGGGAACGAAGGGGCCTTCTGGACCAAGATCAAAGGAACGGCCCGAAATCCACAGCCCCTCCTGAGCCAAATGGTCCTTCTTCCCGTGTGTTGGCTGCGCTGCAGAAGCATGGCCCGGCGGAAAAAAGAAGGCTGGTAAAGTGGGGGTTCACTACCCCCCGCTAGGTCTTTAGGGGAAATCTACAAGCATGCTGGGCGCCCCTCTGGGCCGTCTTGCGGGCCCTCGTGAAGCCCGCATGGGCCCGTTTGGGGTCCCTCTTGGGCCGTGCTGGGGCTTTCTCGGGGAATTGGGGCCCTCTACGGGCCTTCTTCTTCTTCTTCTTCTTTTTGGGGGGGGGCGGGCGGCCGCTGGCGCCTGCCGCTGCGCCCAGTCTGTCAATACCCGAGCCCGCTTAGATCCGAAGTCTCCTGCCCCGAGACACTCACGGCGGAGAAGGGCCCAGGCAAGTAGATGCACAGTTGGGGAGCTCCGCGCAGTGAATGCTTGTTTTTTTTTGGGGGGGGGGGGGGGCGCGTCGGTCCCAAGGCGGAGGCACCCGCAGCGCAGACGGGGTCGCGGCGCTCACGGTGGCGGGGCCGCCCGCGCGCGCAGGCACGCGAGCAGGCCCGACGTGCGGGCGGAGGCGGGGCTGCGGCTCGCGAACTGTGCCAGGAAAGCCGCCGTCGGCTCGTCCCGCGGGGTCCACGTCCCGTCGGGGGGCACCTTGCCGCAGTCGTACATGGCGTTGCGCACTCCCTTGCCGCCCTGCCCTCCATCCTGGCAGTCCACAGCGTGGAAATCGAGGAGCTTGTCGAGGTCGTCCGGGAAATTCACGCTCTTCGGGGCTCCCGTGGTCACGACGTCTGCGCAGCGGCCGCGGTTCAGGTCGGCGGTGTGGCACAGCGCGAAATTGCACTGGTCGCTGGACTTGCCGTATGGCTCTGGCTTGCACACGGCCTGCGTCTCGCGCATCACCGCGACGCAGGGGTGGTCTCCTCCCTTGCCGTCGCCGACCAGCGAGGGCGACGCCAGCCGCAGGCGCGCCCCCGCAGAGCCCACGCACCCCGCCAGCAGCGCCAGGTGGCACGCCGGCAGGCGGAGCCGCATCATTGACGCCGCCGCTGGGGGATTGGCGGCGGCGGCGGGGGGCTTGAGCCAAAATGGCTACGGGGGCCATCTACTCAGGGTTCGTGTTGCGTCGACCCTGGCGTCGGTTGATGACACCGCGTCGATCGTTCGACCTTGAACGATCGGCGGCTCGTCGATCGCCAAATCCTTCCATACTGGCCGACTCTGGGCCACTGGCGGCGTTCAACCTTGAACGCCCGCGCTGGGGTCGCCGCCAATCGACACGACGCGAACCTGCCGTACGGGCTCTCTTGGGGTCATCTTGGGCTCTCCTGGGGACGTCCCATGGCCATCGTGGGTCTCTCTTGGAAGCCTCTGGGGGCCTCGTGAGTTTCTCCCGGGCCGTCTCTCCTGCGTCTCTTCGACCACTGCTCTGATCGCTTTGGGTCTACTGGGCAAGGCCCAGCTAGGCGCTCTGCGAGGCGCGGCAAGGCTGGGGGACATCTTCCAAGGGCGTCCTGGGTGCCTCAAAGCCCCGGATCTGGTAAAAATAAAGGAAGAGGAGTGTATATATGTATCTAGAATACAGATAAAGAGAGAGAGAGAGAGAAAGAGAAACAAACATGTACACCACGTATGTCACACATATATGGTGCGGTAGCGCCAATCAAGATACCTCCTTTCAGTAGTTGATTGTAGCAGCTCGCCAGGATTCGCTTACAATTGTCCCTGAAAGCTTGGTTTTCATTACGTTGGCAACCTGACACGAGGACGCGGTACTTCAGTAGTACACCAAAGACAACAGAAGCGTGAGCTGGAGCCGCAAAGCTATGTTGAGAGACGACGTCGCCCCACGATGGCATACGAGGATACATAAGGTGCGGTTGAACAACGTCGTTCAACATCATTATCCTACACAACAGCTCCTGGAGGTCCGCCCAAACCAGACAAACAACACTTGGGGGCCCTCATGAAGCCCTCTTGGCAATACTCGTGGCATCAGCACGGCAAACAACCAATGCGCGGCTGCCAGTGGTCGCGCACAGGCAAATTCAACAGGTACCCGATAGGAGGACATCTTTTGGTTCCATTGGGACCCAAGTAGGACTCCAATTGGCTTCCACTAGGAACCCAATCGCTTGGCACCATATTGTACCCCACAGGGCCCCATCAGGAGCCAAACGGGCCATGGGTATACCACTTGGCCAGCAAACGGTTCTTTGAGGAAGCAACGGTACAGGAACCCGGGGGGGGGGAATTTATCTGAATAGATTGCAAGAGGAAGACATACAATGACCAGACAAAGGTTCACTGGGAAGACAGCGTTGGATTCCAATTGGTTCCCAGTAGGATGTCAATGGGATCCCAATGAGAACCTGATCGGGCTCCAGTAGTAAGGAAGCCTCTGGCACTCCCAGTAAAGTCCAATCGGCTATACTATAGGACCCCCATTGGATTCTATCAAAATCGTAATTGTAATCCGTCAGTCGTGTTCCATTCCAATAATAGAATGTCGTCCGGATTCCGTTAGAACGGAATCGTGTCGCATTACGCTCGAATCGGTTTGAATCCCACAGCGACCCCACTTTGATTCCAGTAGAAAGGACTTCCATGAAATTCTAATAAGACACCAGTATGAGGATGACCGTATACATATACATATATATATATATATACATATGTATACACATATATATATATATGTATATTACTCGATTCGGTTCAATCCCCGGCAGGAAATGTTCCGAGACTACATGCGGTTAAATTAGGGTCTCGCATGGGTATTCTGAAATCAGAAATTTCCTTGCATTCTACATGCACCTCGGGTGGATGCTGGGGATTGAACCCTTCTGCCGGGGATTGAAACTTCTTCTGGGGATTGAACCCTTCTGTCGGGAATTGAACCCTTCTGCCGGGGATTGAACCCATCGCCTCAAGCCGCCCCCCAAAAAGAAATGTGCCCCAAAGAGTCTGATGATGATGTGAACGGGTTCGCTGGAAACGACAAGAATGAGGGAAAGGACGAAGAACATGTGAGGGAACGGCGAGAGAACGAAGAGGGCGAAAACGGGGCACTAATCAACGACTACTACTCTCAAAAAACCGGTGTATAATTGTATATATATATACATATCCTTATCTCTCCCTCTATCTCCCTCTCTTTATGTGTCTCCCTCTCTCTCTTTCTCTCTCTCTCTCTCTCCCGATCTCCCTTACCGTCTGTGTGCGAACCTTGACGGGCCCAGGTGGCCTGGCGCGAAGCGCCGGTGCGGCCTTGTACATCATACATACATATACAGCGAGAGAGGACAAGCGAGAGAGGGAGAGAGCGAGAGAGAGAGAGAGAGGGAGAGAGACTGCGAGCGCGTGCTACATACATTCTATGTGTGTGTTAGCCAGCGTGAAACCCAGACAGCGGCTTCGTGCAATAGATACGGTGCGATCTAGGTGGTGCAATTCAGTATGATTGATGCAATCTAGGTGGTGCAATCCATATGGTGCAATCTAGGTGTGAAATCCATGTGGTGCAACCTTTGCGGTGCAAGGCACTGCAAAGCAATGCACAGCAATGCAGCGCAAGGCAACGCAATGCAAAGCAAGGCGATACAGCAATGCACAGCAATGCGCAGCAATACGCAGCAATGCACAGCAATACGAAACAATTCAAATCAATGCACAGCAACGCAAATGAATACCAACGAATGCAGATCCATGCGACGCGAAGCAAATCATGGCAACGCAATGCAAATCCACGCCAAGCAACGAAAAACAATACCACGAAAGGCAGAGCAAGACAAAGCAGGGCAAAGCAGTGCAACCCCATGCAAAGCAATGCAAAATAATGCAAAGCACTGCAAACCAATGCGACGCACAACAATGCAAAGCAGTGCAAAGAAACGCAACACCATCCAAGGCAGCGCGGCGACGGGCGGCGACGAGCTGACCAGACCTCCACTGGGGCCCTTCTGCATCGACGGCGATGGGCGGCGGCAGGCTGGCTCGATTGACGCTGGGGCCCCCTAAGTGCAAGCACTGTCTTTGGAATGGATGTGTTGTGTACACGTACAAGTACACGTGTAACTGTATACCTACACATTACATGGCATGAGAGGGAGAGAGAGAGAGAGAGAGAAAAAAAAAACAACAACAAAAGACACAGAAAACGAACGATCCAGACACATGCATACATACATACATACATACATACATACATACATACATACATACGTGCATATGTGTCCACAGACGATGTTCAATGAAACACAATATTGTCCCAACAAATCCCCGGACAACCCAGACAACCCCTCGAATATGCATACCATAAGCGTCCCAGCATGTGATTAGGGCTGGCGCTCGAGCTGCAGCATAATACCTATTTAGGGATGTGGCTGGAGCTCACGCGAGAGCAACACGCCTAATGATGAGGGATGTGGCCAGCGTGAAGGCGACAGAATCAATCCCAGACAGGGATGTAGCCAGAGCTCGGGCGAGAGCATCATTCTCAATCACGGATGTTGCTGGCACTCGAGCGGCAACACCATACGTACCCAATAATGGATGTGGCTGAAGTTGGGGCGAGAAAGCGGTTCCCAATCAGGGACGTGGCCAGCGCGCAGTGTTGCGAGGATGTCTCAGGCGGAACTGGCCAGACCAGCTCTCGCGCGACATCTCCGAACCCTGAATTGTGAGAATGTCTCGGGTGAAACTGCCTGGAACACCTCCCGTCAGGGCATCTCTGAGCCCAGAGTTGCGAGGATGTCTCAGGCATAACCCGCCTGGCAACTTCGTGCACGGCATCCTTGAGCCCCAAATCTAGAGGCAGTCTCATACAAAACTGGCCAGAACACCTTAAATCAGAGTATATCGGAACCCAGGAAGTTGCAAACATATCTCAGGTCAAACTACCTGGACAACCTCGTGCGCGGTATCTCGGAGCCAAGAGTTGCGATGGAATCTCAGGCGAAACTAACTGGACAACCTCGTGCGCGGCATCTCGGAGCCTGGAGCTGCGACGCCGTCGCAGGCGAAGCTGGCCAGACCACCTCTCGCGCGGCATCTCTGAGCCCAGAATTGCGAGGATGTCTCAGGAGGAATGGGCTGGATAACATCGTGCGCGGCATGTCGCAGACGAACCTGGCTGGACCACCGCAGGTCAGAGCATAGGAGCCCAGAGTTGCGAGGATACCTCAGGCGGAACTGGCTGGAGCACCTCGCATGCACCATCTATGAGCCCAGAGCCGCGTGGACGCCTCACGCGAAACTGGCCACACCAGCTCTCGCGCGGCATCTGACGATATTTCAGAAAGAACGGTCCGCACCACCTCCGGTCAGGGCATATTGGAGCCCAGACTTGTGAGGACGTCTCAAGCGACACTGGCTTGAAAGCGTCGCGCGCGGCATCTCTGAGCCCATGGTTGCGAGGATGTCTCATGCGACGCTGGCCAGGAGGTCATGACATATCGGAGTTGAGAGGATATCTCCAGCAACCTGGCTAGACAACCTCGTGGCGACGAATGTCTCAGGCGGGAGTGGCTGGACAATGTCACGCGCAGCATTTCGGATACTACAAGCCTCGTCAAAAATATCTAGAAATGGAAATTAAAATCCTGGAGCACGATGCTTTCGGACACTTGTCAGAAAGCGCGTTCTTCAATGCTGAGAGGGTGGGGTCAATTTTTGAACAACACCGCGTCCGAGTCAACAGGCGTCAGAATTGGAGTAGCGCTGAACCCACAATCACCGAATTGAGAAGTCTTCTGTTTACACTTGATGAGGCTTGTAGAACTGCGAGGATGTCGCAGGCAGGCGGAACTTGCCAGACAACCTCTCGCGCGGCGGCCTCTCGGAACCCATGACTGCGACGGGCTGCGCGCGCCGTAGCGCGCGCGCCCGCGCCGCCGCCGAGGCAACAGCCGCCGCTATCACCGTCATCGTCATTGTGGTGGTCCGTTTCCGCTTCCTCTTCCTCCTCCTCCTCCTCTTTCTCCTCCCCCTCCCATCCTCCTCCTTCTCCTCCTCCTCCAGCCCCACCTCGCCCCCCTCCCTTTTCAGTCGAAGCCGAGACGGAGGGACAGGAGGAGAGCGGGGAGGAGGGAGAACAGGAAAAACACGAGAGAAATGATCGCTAGGGCCCTTGACGATTGTATCAGCAGAGGATATAGTGTGGCGGTCGCTGTAAACAAAACCACTCCACGTGCGAGTGGGATTTCGTGCGGTGTGATCGTGGCCCCTGTGGGTGCGACCCCTGAAGTCGTTCCCGCGCAGGCGCGCCATCATGACTAATGTGGCGGCGGTCCCCGGATGGGCTCCCGTGCGAGGCAGCTCTCTCGCGGCGCGCCTTGGTGTTCCCCCTGGTATCGGTGTCTGGATCAACCCTTTTCACGACACGGCTCGCATGGGGCACAACGTGTTGCCTCTCGAAACAGTGGTCTTTGATTTGGTTCCCGCCCGATTTGGCACGCACGCGGTGCACCATGCGAAATCGGCTGCGATGGTCGTGGGCGCTTTTCCCTCGCGATGAGGAGGAAGAGGAGGAGGAGGAGGAGGAGAAGGCGAAGGAGGAGGAGGAGGAGGAGGAGGCGGAACATCAGCATAAAAACGACGAGGAAGACGAGACGGAGGAGGAAGTTGAGGCTTGGGAAAACCCCTGGACAACCCCCTAGACAACCCCTGGACAACCACCACCCCATTTCCCTGTTTATGATTCAGCTCCCTGTTCTGCTTCGCGCTGATACATCACATCCACGCGTTCTCACGGGTGTTAGTTACTCGTCTGCGCTCGTATTCCTTGCAATTTGCTCCGTCCTCGTCCAATTTAATTTCCTCTTCGCGCCGGCCGCTCGCGGCTCCGCGTGATTCGCGCGCAAACGCCCCCCCGCAAACGACACTTGAAAACAATGCGTCCTGGCAACCCATCACAAACGCCCGCGACATGCCGCAGTGGGCGAACGCTGCTCAGCGGTATCCGCGGAGCAGCGAAGGTGCTGCATTGCGGCCCGCAGTTCGAAGATCCACCTGCATCCCGTTGCGCGAAATTCGGGCCCCACCTGACCATCTGCAACTTTATGGCAACCAATTCGTTCACGCGTGCAGCCACCCAGGACTACCTGAAGCGAGCAAGCTTCGATTTGACCGCTGGCCTGGCGAAGCCCGACCGTTCAACCCCACGCTTCGCTTCACGTGGGTATGCGGCCTGTCGGCCGGGGGCAAGCGATGCCACGTGCAAGAAACTTCTCGGCAAGCGCACTAGACGCGAATGACCCTCTCGAACAATCCGAATTGAGGCTTTTTGGCGAGCGGGCAGCAGGCGCAGCTCGCAGCCGAGGGCGCCTGGCAAGGCGTCGGTCAATCTGAATCAGAGGCATGCGGGAGCTGCGCGCGACGCTGCGCAGCGATAGATTCAAAATCTGCCGCGCTGCTCCAGCGAAGCGTAATGCACCGAGACGGAATATGTAGCGTCTGCCCGCGCGCCGGCAGCCACTCCTTCATGCATACCCCGCACTGGCATCATCCGTGTTTAGGCACAACGTGGGCAAGGCAGGGCACGCTTGGAGTGAGCTTCCTGGCGTGCCTCCTGGCAGCCCTGGCAGCCCCCCTGGCGAAACTAGGGCGACCACCTCGCACGAGGTATCTCGGAACCCAGAGTCGCGAAGAATATTTCAAACCAAACTGGCCAGACCACATCGTGCACGGCGTCGCTGATCCAATAGTTGCGAGGATCGCAGGCGGAATAGGCTGGACCACCTCTCGCGCAAGGCATCTCGGAACCCTGAGACGCGGGCATGTCTCATACGAAACTGGTTGGACCACCTCTCGCGCGGCATCTCCGAGCCCAGAACTGCGAGAGTGTCTCTGGCGACACGGGCCAGAGCACGTCGCGAGCGGCAATTCGGAGGCCGCAGTTGCGAGGATGTCTCAGGCGAAACTGGCCGAAGCTTTGTGGGCCCCAGAAACGGAAGGGCCGTTTTGTCACCGTTTCCGAAAAAATGTCCCCCGAAAATGGAAACGGCAAAAAAACGGCGACCAGAAACGGCAAAAAAACGGCTCCAGGATTGGAACCGGAGCCGGAACCGGTCAAAACACGGCGACGGAAACGGTAAAAAAACGGCGTCGGGACCGGCAAAAAAACAGCAAAACGGAACCGGTAACAAAAACGGCCCCATCGTTTCCAGGGCCCACTAAGGGCCGAACCACTGAGATGAAGGCACCTCGGTGCGCAGATGTGCGAGTATGACTCAGCCGACGACGCCGGCCTCCCGCGCTGCATCTCCGAACCCGGTAACGAGAGGACGTCTCAGGCGCGAAACGGGCTGGATCACCTTGCGCGCGGCATGTCGCAGAAGAACCTGGCTGGACCTTCGTCGGCCCCGGAAACGGCAGGGCCGTTTCTTCACCGTCTCCGAAAAATGTCCCTTGAAAATGGAAACGGCAAAAAAACAGCGACCAGAAACGGCAACAAAAACGGCTCCAGGATTGGAACCGGAGCCGGAACTGGTCAAACAACGGCGACGGAACCAATAAACAAACCGGGGTCGGAACCGGCAAAAAACGGCCAAACGGAACCAGAAAAAAAAATGGCCCTGTCGTTTCCAAAGCCCACTAAGGGCTGGACCACCTCAGGTCAGGTCACATTGGAGCCCAGAAATAAAACCTGGAAATGCGACGACGTCTCAGGCGACACTGGCCGCGCACGCTGCATCTCCAAGCTCAGACATGCGATGGCGTCCAAAGCGAAAATGGCCGGCCAGACCATCTCTCGCGCAACATCTGACGAAGTTTCTGATAGAACGGTCCAGACAGCCCCAGGTCAGGGCATCTTTGAGCCCAGAGCTGCGAGGCTGCATCAGGCGAAACTGGCAAGAAAATGTCATGCGGCATCTCTGACCCCAGAGTTGCGAGAATGTCTCCAGCGAAACTGGCTGGACTACCTCGCGCGCTGCAGCTCGGAGCCCAGACGTCTCTGGCGGCACTGGCTGGACCACCTCGCGCGCTGCATCTCCGAGCCCAAAGATGCGGGGGCGCTGGCATCTCCGAGCCCAGAACTGCGAGAAAGCGTCAAGCCAAACTGGCCAGACCCCCTCGGTCCAGGTCATCTGCGAACCCAGAGTTGCGAGGGCGTCTCCGGCGAAACTGGCCGGGCCACCCCCGAGACTGGCGGATGTGTATGAACGCTGGCCCCCTGGCCAGAACCAGCTCCTACCGCAAAACAGGGCCCCAGTCAGCACAGCTGCCTCGGGAAGCGCGCTAAAGGAGGGCGCGCAAATGGGAGCGGAAGGGGGACGCGAGAGACGAGGAACGGACAAGAAGGGAAGGGGGAAAGAGAGGCGACACTTCCAACTGGGCATCCCTGGTTGTGCCGTGCGTCTGATGGCATGTATGATACTGTCGTGTGCACCTGCTGGCAGAACAACGCGGCCTGGACAATCCCTCGGAGAAACCCGCAAGGCTCCGGACGACCCCGTTTGGACACGCCTACGCAGGATTCGCTTACACTAGAGATCATACGCAAATGCCTGACACATCGGAAGAGAGAGAGAGAGAGAGAGAAAAAAAAAAGAGAGAAAGAGAGAAAGAGAGATAGAGAAAGAGAGAGAGAGAAGAGAGAAAGAGAGATAGAGCAAGATATATATAAATATATATATATGTATATAGATATACATATATCTATATACATAGAGAGAGAGAGAGAGAGAAAGAGAGAGAGCGAGATAGACAGAGACTGAGGCAAAGAGAGGGGTATATATAGGCGCACAAGAGAAGCTCCCGCCTGCGCGCGTCCAGGGCGACCGCGGCCGGCGCCGCCTTGCAGTTCAGGTCCGGCGGGAAGACGCCGCCTCGGCCCCCCGCGGGGCGGTGGGGGGCATCACTCCCTCTCTGGCCATCGCTCGGACGTCCATTCCCTGTGTTTTTTCTCGGTTTCGTGCGTGGTTTTCTCGCCGAGTGATCAGGGATGCTCCTCGATGGCCCTCGCCGAGAAACAATGCACACGTCCGAGCGATGCCAGGATCTTTCCATCATGTTGTTTGTCTGCTTCATCCTCCGTCTCGTCCTCCTCCTCCTCCTCCTCCTCGTGATGCTCTTCCTCCTCCGCCTCCTCTTCCTCCTCCACTTCCCTCGGCAGATCACAGGCACTCGGTAATGATCTCGCACACATCGAACGAAACAATGAAAGAGTCGCACGGCCACTACAAAACTTGATTACGTGCCACACAACAACACTCCTCATGTTTCTGCCCTCTCTCGTGTCCATCCGGCCGTCCATCTTTTCATCATAATTTTCATCCCCGTCCCTCTGTTCCTCCTCACCATCCTCCGCCATCAGCAAGAGCGGTAGCTGGCATTATTGTCAATCTCATCCCAGAGCTGTATCTAGGCTCGACCCTCGCTTGTCTCTAGAATCTGTGCCAGTAATCCTCCGATGTGAGGCTGGTAGCAGGAGGCATGTGCTCCCCGCTGCATACTGCTCGACTGGAGGAACCTAGCCACGAATGTTTTGGCTTTGGAGCTGGCTGCGCATGAATGGGGGGATCTTGAGGCGGAGCGGGGAAGGTGACGACTCGAGGAGTGAGCGGGGAGGGCAGGAAAAGGACGAGAGAGTGGGAAGAAGGAAGGTCGACGAATAGGAGTGAAGATGAGTGAGGAGGCAGAAGAGCGACTTCGTTTCCCAGCGCTCCGCGCACCGCCCAGCAGCCAGGGCAGTGGCACCCTGCTGCGTCCACTGTAGGAGGAGGACACGTGCCTGGGTTTGGGGAGGGCCGGCGAAAAGGGAAGATCGCATCACCCAGCCCTGCATTGGAGGACGCTAGCCCTGATCACAGTCAGAGAAGCGCGGTGGACTCCCAACGATGACAGCGATGACCAGCAGAGTTCGTTCTTGTCTGTTCGTGTTTATTTCTTTGTCAGCTATGGCCTCACAGTGCACTGAGGCGCGTCTTGAACCACAATGGTAAACTACGGAAGGCCTTGCTCCCGTCTCCTGTCGTGCTGTCTACTGCAGTACACACTCCTCGGCAATCGAACGGTTGCCCGCCCGATCGCCGGGAGAGGTTAGAGGTTACATAACTGAGCCGGGGACTGAATGCTCACGTGATCAACTACTGCCGTTAAAATTACAGCGTCAAGGACCGAAGACAGCGGAATCGAAAGGCAATTGCCGACGCTACTACGCATAGCGCTGCGAGTCTTCGCGCGCATTCCTGGCAGAACAGCTGGTGCTCGCACCGGCAAAGCTGTTCCTCGCGCTGGTTGGTCTTTCTTCTTGCAGAGCAGGCCATGTCGGCCACTCGTGTTTCGAAGGCCCTACAGAGGGCGAAACATAACCAACATCCTGGATCGGTCCTATATTAATCATATGATACAACTGAGATGCTGAGGTCTGGACACGACACCCGTAAAACAACAAACTCATCATTTCCGTCCTTCCACTAATATGTGACGGGGTCGGTGCCGCCAAAATTTGTCTTCATCACTTGTGCTTTCATGTTGCAGACATTCACCATTTGTGTACGCAATTATGACTCCACCCTCGCTGCGATCACCTCTCCCAGGAAGCGGCGTCGGATAGATATTCGAAGGCCACAGGACAGACCTCTCAACCAAATGAACGACACGTGTCTGATGAACTTACGAGAAGGAGGAGGAAGAGAAGGGATAAATGAAAGGAGCAGGAGGGAGGGTGGGAGAGGAAAGAGGAGGTGGAGGAGGAGGAGGAGGAGGAGGAGGAAGAGAAGGGGCGGCATTGGAGGGAGGAGGAAGACAAAGAGGTGGAGGAGGAGGAGAAAGAAGAGGAGGATGAGGGAGGAGGCGGACGTGAAGGGAGTAAAGACGACAAGGAGGAGGAGGAGGGAGGAGAAGAATGACGATGAGGAGGAGTGACCGAGTCACGGACATTGTGATCATGTCGGTGAACGACTGACTGGAATTCAAGCCTCGCCATAGCAGTAGCCCGCCTGGCCTTCTCAGACGGATGCAGAGGCACAGGTTCCCCAGAAGTAGGAGGAGGTGAAATGATGAAGGCGACTGCATCATCTCTTAAGCCGGAATCACCCATGCACTCCGCGGCGATACGCGGCGGAGACTGACCATATATGCTTTGTGTTAAACAGCACCCCAGGCGTAAACGACAAAAGCACTGGCGAGAAGAGGATCGGCGGCGAGTAAAAGAGAAGAAGGGGGGGAAGAGAAGGAGAACGCCTTCTCAGAAGGCGGCGGGGCGTCTCAGAGGCATCCGGCCTTCGGAAAAGGTGTTCCGTGCCTTCAGGGAAGGCTCCGAGCACTTCTCGGAGGGCCAGGGGACACTTCGGAGCCTGCTGAGAAGAGGCCCGCTGCTCTGCAACTCCCCCCCCCCCTCCCTGGGCTCGCCGCCGAGAGGGGAGCGCGGAGGAGGAAAGGACGACGAGTAGGAGGAGGAGGAGGAGGAGGAGGAGGAGGAGGAGGAGGAGAAGTAGGAGGAGGAGGAGCAGGAGGAGGAGGAGCAGGAGGAGGAGGAGGGGAGGAGGAGGAGGAGGAGGAGGAGGAGGAGGAGAGGAGGAGCAGGAGGAGGAGGAGGCGGGGGGAGGTGGAGGAGGGAGGAGGAGGAGGAGGAGGAGGAGGAAGGAGGAGGAGGAGGCGGAGGAGGAGGAGGAGGCGGAGGAGGAGGGAGGAGGAGGGAGGAGGACGAGGAGGACGAGGAGGAGGACCAGTGTAAACCCAAGAACCATTAACGATGTTGTAACTAACTCTCCCTCCAAGTTCCCTCTTCATAGGCCCCATACAACGGTTCATTTCCATTGAGGGAACTGCCTTATTTGAAGATAGCCGTTTGAAAACCCTGAATCATGCCTAAGCAGTGTTCTCTGGACTTCAACGCCACGGATCCACCTGACTGCTGCGTCTTGACGATGCGGAATGGTGCCAGAATGCCACTGTAGGGACTTCAACACCGCGAACCAACATAACTGCTTCGGCCGCATAATCCTGAATCCTTCCAAAACACGACTTCTAGTACGCTGATCATGGGAAACCGTGGGACTCTTGCAAATCTTTGAAACAAAGGTGCGCGGTGCTAAAGCGAGAGCCAACTTCTGAGAATGAGCCGCCCTCAGTCCTTAAAGCTTAAAGCTCTTGCGATGCTTTACAATGAGTGTGCGCGGCACCAAAGCAAGAGCCACATTAAAAACACGGCCCTCCCTCAATCCGTGAAGCTCTGGCATGTTTGCAACGAATGTGCGCGGCGCAGAGGCGAGAGCCACATGTTGAAACCGACCCGCCATCAACCCATGAAACTCTTGCAACTGTTTACGACGAAAATGCGCGGCGCTATGGCGAGAGCCACACTTTGAAAACGACCAGCCCTCAAACCGTGAAACTCTTGCAACTGTTTACAACGAGTGCGCGCGACGCTAAGGCGAGAGCCACATGTTGAAAACCACCCGCCCTCCATCTGTCAAAACGGCTGCCACGTTTTAAGCTTCAGAATCATAAGTGGTGAGAAAGTCTCAGGCGAAACGCCCGGCCCGCCCTAAAAACAGGCCTCGTGGTGCGACAGGGAGAAGTCACGTATCAGGGAAAGGAATGGAGGATGGAGAAGGGAGGAAGAGGAAGAGGGAGGAGGAGGAGGAGGAAGAGGAGGAGGAGGAGGAGAAGGAGGAGGAGGAGGAGAGGAGGAGGGAGGGGGAGGAGGAGGAGGAGGAGGGAGGAGGAGGGAGGAGGAGGAGGAGAGGAGGAGGAGGAGGAGGAGGAGGGAGGAGGAGGAGGAGGAGGAGGAGGAGGAAGGAGGAGGAGGAGGAGGAGGAGGAGGACGAGAAGGACGAGGAGGAGGAGGGGGAGAAGGGAGAAGGGAGAAGGAGGAGGAGGATGAGAGGAGGAGAGGAGGAGGAGGAGGAGGAGGAGGAGGAGGAGGAGGAGGAGGAGGAGGAGGAGGAGGAGGAGGAGGAGAGCGGCCGACGAGGAAGGAGTGGCGAAGTGGATTTTCGCGCTCGAGAGCGAGCCGTTCGTGAAAGAGATCTTTCTCGCACTCCGGCGCACGGAGGTCTTGGAGGTGCTCGGGGTCCGCCTGACCCACGATTTCGCCCCGCAGCACAAGGAGGCGAAGAAAATCCAAGACCTGGCCTTTGGCAGTGGCTCTGGGCGCCGCCGGCGGCAGAAGAAGAAGTGAGGCGTCGATGGAGGGCCGTCGGATGACACGAAAGGGGAGTGCCAGTTGATTGTGCGCCGTACATCGCCAGATTGTTTCGGGTGCTCTCCCCTTGGGGGCCTCATGCTTAGGGGTGGTGTTCGGGACCGCCCCATCTCCCCGCTCGTCCTTCCCCTCCCTTGGCCCCTCCCTCCTTTTGTCTCTCTCGTTCGCTCTTCCCTTCCTGTGGTGCGGTCTCCTGCTTCCCGGCCTGGGGCGCCCGCTCGGGGGGGCGCCTCCAGGGTAGTGGAGACAACGACGCAGTGCCAACTGCTGCAATCTCAGCCGGGTGATTTCATGTTGCATCGTCAGGGAAGCCCCTCGCCCCTGCAGAGGCAGGGCGAGCGGGGGTAGAGAGGGGCGTGCAGCCCTGCAAAGGCAGGGTTCGCCTCTCGCTTGGGCTGGCCGCGCAGCCGGGCGAGGAAGGTGGCAGCGCGCACGCTGGCGCGGCGCATAGGGATCCATGGGTTTGCGCGCGGGGCAAAAAGGAGGAGGAGATGGAGGAGGCGGAGGAGGAGGAGGAGGAGGAGGAGGAGGAGGAGGAGGAGGAGGAGGAGCAGGAGGAGGAGGGGGAGGAGGAGGAGGAGGAGGAGGAGGAGGAGGAGGAGGAGGAGGATTCCAGCGATTCCAGTATTCGGGGGATTCACGAGTGCAAGCTCGGGCCCACGAGATCAATACAGTCA